CCCCAAAACCCCAAAACCCCAAAACCCCTTTAGGTAGTGGGTAAATTGAGTGATATTAATCGTAAATTTAGAGCATAAAATGGAGTTTGTGAAGGAAAGAAAGGACAAGCAACGTCTGATTGATGGGTTACAGAGATTATGGCATGATCTCTATGGTTGTGACGGCCTAACTCTCTCCCAAATCACTCAGATAAAGCAAGAAGCAATTGCTGCAGGGGTTTGTCCCTCTCTGGACCATTACTACCTCGACCGGGAAGATCTTATGAACTACGATGTGAAGAGATTCCTCAAACTGATAGAATTCTGGAGTGACAAAGGAGTCTTAATGGACAAAGACCACCCTATCAGAAAAATAGCCAACGTCTTCCTAGCCTGTGTCGAGGCTAATGGACTTGGCCTACATTTCGTTGGATTCATGAGAACGATAGAGCTTCTTGGAAGTGAAGAGCAGAAGAAGCTCTGGCTTCCTAGAGGGTATACCCTACAAGCCGTAGGATGCTATTGTCAAACTGAAATGGGCCATGGAAGTGATGTACAAAGTTTAGAGACAACAGCAACTTATGACGTCACTGCTAAAGAGTTTGTCATTCATTCTCCCACTGTGACATCTATCAAGTTCTGGCCCGGAGGATTAGGCAAGATGTCTAATCATGCTGTTGTCCAAGCTCAAATGTATGTCAAGGATGAGCACTGCGGCGTTCAAACATTTATTGTCCAGATAAGAGATAGAGATCATCTACCTCTTGAAGGTATCCATGTTGGCGATATTGGAAGTAAATTCGGCTTCAATGGAACAGACAATGGATTCATCAGGTTTACCAATGTGAGGATCCCAAGAGAAAATCTTCTCAATAGATATTGCCAAGTCTCAGAAGAAGGAGTTTTCACCAAAATGAGCGACTCTGCAATCAGACTGTCCTATGGAAATATGTTGTTCTTGAGAATTAAGTTTTTCACAGATAGATCTTTCCAATTCTCAAAGCTAGCCACAATCGGCATCAGATATTCTATTGTAAGAAGGCAGTTCAAAGATTCAGATACAGGAGAAGAGAGGCAGATTCTGGATTATCAGACCCAGCAGTATAGGCTCTTTCCTCTATTAGGAATTAGCTATGCTATCAGGTTAGCTTCAACCGAGCTATCAAAACTTTATAAAACCTTTGAGACAGAAAATGAGGAAGGAAAAGAGCCATTCAAATTACTCAAGGATATCCACACTTTAGCATCATGCTTGAAACCCCTCGCTACATGGAGGATGAGGAAATTCGGAGAATATGTTAAACAATGCTGAGGAGGACATGGATTCCTTAACGTCTCAGGAATCCATAGAATAGTCAAATCTGAAGAGGGTCTCGTCACTGCAGAAGGCACCAATATCGTGGTTGCTCAACAAACTGGAAAAATCTTACTCCAAGGAGCTGCCAAGCTTATGCAAGGTGAAAAATTAACAGGAGTGACATCATTCTTAAATGATCAATTTCTAAACCCTAAAAAGGCATCTGATTTTTCATGTGTAAACCAAAGAATTGTTGCTGCTTTCAACGCAAGAGTCTGCTTCCACCTCAGTTATGCTAGTAAGAAAGTTCAAAGACTGATGGGAGAAGGCCTCGATATGCAAACAATCTGGAACGAAAAGGTTCAGCAAGACTTCATCGATATCGCCATGTACTTCGCAGATGCATATTTACTCAAGACAGCTTTCAGAGAACTTGAAGATAACAAATTTGTGACTGATGAGACTAAACCATCAGTAGAGAAGTGTCTACAGGTGTACGCTATTTACTGAATCTTAGAGGAACTGCCATCATTCTCAGTGACTCAGTTCTTCACATCCAATGAAGTCGAGAGCCTCAGGGAAACCTTTGCAGAAGCTCTCAGGTTTATTAGAGAGAATGCGCTCGCAATAGTTGATGGCTTTGGGTATTTAGACGAAGAATTATGCAGTGTTTTAGGATCATATGACGGAGATGTGTATACTAAACTAATCGGAGTTGTGAGAAAAAATCCCTTGAACAAATCTAATGTTCTTCCTGGATACTTCGAGCATATCAAAACCTTAAGATCCAAAATTTAACTTCAATGTGAGGGTTTAATCAGTTCAATATTTTTTAAAGATCTAGGGGTTTTGGGGTTTTGGGGTTTTGGGG